AGAAAGAAGAGGGGAAGAGTAGGAGGGCATGCCCATCTTGATGGGTGTTCAGGAGGCAAGTCCTCATTTTATTATTTCCCTTCACTTTGCAGACTATGAAAAATCCCTTTTCTAACTGCAGAAGATTCTTCAGTTTCTGCCCTCAAGTCTAGCAGAGCTACAATCTCTGCTGCTCCCCTGTCTCCAGTTTGTTTGTATCAAGTACTGCCACCCCTCAGGGGAAAGAGCAAGCTTGTAGGCTGGCCTCACCTCCTCTAGGCCTCCTAGTAAGGGCTGACTTATAGCCAAGATGTGTTGCTTCCCTTTCTAATGCTTTACTTCTCAGTAAACCTATGTATTGAGAGCAACCTCATGTGCATGTGTACAGAGAAGGAGGGTCCTGAGCTATCTCTTCATCAGCAGAGTGTATGGAGGAAGAGCTGTACACAGATAACCTCTCAACACATTAGAGGGCAAAGGTGGCCTATTTCTACTGGTTAGAAATGAGAAATGCTGCAGAAAGGGCAAATATCTCATGTGTTTATCCTGGGAGAGGATCTGCTTATCTGCTATCTAACTTGATATGCTTAAAAAAAAAAAAGGCCCAGAAGCCCAGGTTGGCATCTCTTGGCCTCAGACAATAGCAGGTAACTTGATTTTTCCCCAGAAACAGATTCAGTGCAAGCACTTGGGCAACTTCCACTTTTAACGCTTTCTCTTCCTCCAAAGTCCTTGAAGATCAGCAGAACATCCGGCTAATAAGGGAACTGCTGCAGACTCTCTACACGTCCCTCTGCACCTTGGTTCAGCGGGTTGGCAAGTCTGTGCTGGTTGGAAACATCAACATGTGGGTGCACAGAATGGAGACTATTCTCCACTGGCAGCAGCAGCTGAACAACATTCAAATCACCAGGGTAAGTGTGAATCTGAAGGCCGAAAATAACATGGTTCCTTCATGAAATCTTGTGTAGCAGCTCTCACTTGGGAGGCTGCATCCCACTGTGCTTCCAGTGTGAGCACAAAGTGCTGGGGAAGGAACTGGTGTTGCCAAAATATGTGGTTCCCTTTGCTTTTGGGTTCAAAATCAGTGTTAATGGGTCAGATCCCTAGCCAGCTCAACACCCCCAGCCTGGGATCAGACTAGGGCTGGTTGCAGCCTGACTTCTGCATAGCCATGCAGTGCTCTGTGAGCAGAGCTGGACAGGAGACAACTTCTCTCTGCTGGGAAGTCTTCAGAGATCAGCCCTCAGCACAGAAAGTCAAATTGAAACCTCTTTCAAAAAAGTGAGATGCTTCCCTTAAAGCAAATTAAAGAGTAACAGTTTATCTGTAAATTAAGTGCAAACTTAAAACCAGCTGTATAATTTAATACTTCCTAGTTGAAAATGCCAGTGATCCTGCCAGTAATCTGCAGTTGGCCATTGTAGCCAGATGAGTCCTCCTTTCACAGCATCTCTTTGCAGGTGTGTCTGGGGATGAGCAGGAGACATTAGTTGATAACCTCCTAACCTGGCCTTTGTGTCTGAATCAAACCTGACCTTGGTCTGCTTTTACCTTCAGTGAATGTTGGCCATCAGTTTCCTTCTAGATGAGTCTCCCTAGAGTGTTGCCAAGAAAGGGGGTCTCTTGGACATGGTGATGCTAATATCTTCCCTTGGTGCTGCACTGTGTGTCACTGTGCCCTTCCAAGGAGTCAAAAGCAGTGAAATGGACTGGGAAATTCTTGTTTGTCTTAGGCATGGCCTCAGGGAATATAAAAGGCACCTTTTCTTGCTTCTGGTGAATCCAGCAGAGGTGTTTACCAAGGATTAAGCAAAGGACCTGCTTTTATCACTTTTAAATGTCTGGGGAGTACTAGGAAATGGCTTCTCACTCATTCAGTGAGAGATTTGAGTGGCAAGTGGAAAACAGTGAAGAAAATGAACTCTTGAGGTGCTGGGTGTTTGGAAGACCTGTAAAGGCAATGCTGCCCCATCTTGCAGTGGTTGTACATTCACTTAAGTGTAAGTTAATAGACACATTTGTAAGTAATGTTAATGCCCTGTTTTAAGGGCTCCAGATGCAGAGCTTGCAAAAATGGAACTTTTTGCACTACTGAAGATGAATTCAGGTCAAGACAGGGGGAAAAAAAAAAAAGCTGAGCTAAGAGGAAGAATGAGCAGAGTTGCTTGCAGTGAGTGCACTGAACAGTGAGTGCTTCTGGTATTTCTGAAGCAGGGAAAAATGTCTTGCAGCAGCCAAGACCTAAAACTTTTGACAAAAAAAAATCAACTTGCAAAATACTGAATAGTTGCTTAAAAACCTCTGTCCAGAAAGTGACAGCATAATGTTCTGCTCTGATCTAATCTGTGTTATTTCTCCAAAAAAAGTAATGTTTGAAAACTCCTGGAAAGGAGCACTGAGGGAAAAGTAGCAGATAAGTCTCTGGCACTGGTTCAGCAAACCTGTGAGTGTGTACTTGAGTCACGCTGATTTCTTCAATAATAAGACTTAAATGCTTAGTTGCTTGTTGAAGCAAGATCCCCGGAGCTCAGCTTTGCTTTTTATGCCCTGGTGAACTTCCCTCTGAGCTTCCTGCCCTGGTGAATTTCTCTCTGAGCTTCCTGCCCTGGAGTGGGCTGTAGGAGAATAGGAAGGACAGCACAGGGAAAGGGAGATGAACTGGAGGGGATCCAAGGCTGTAGCTCAGTCCTATCCCTAAATATCTCAGTTTGTAGAGACTTGGGCTGCTGTGTGGAAAGGAGACCCATCAGCTTCAGGATGGAAAAATTGTCCTCTGCTTCCCTATCTGATTTAGCTGGAAGACACAGGCAGTACTTTTGCCTGAGGCTTTAGCAAGTATGGGGGAGCTGTCTTTGTCTCAAGAACAAATCTTGTTATGGAAATAGAAGTGAAATGGGAATGAATTAGAAACTGCTGAAAAGTGGTGGATGGGGTTGGGAGATAACAATAGGAGCACTATTGTTTGTGCTGAGATGATGAGGGAAAGGGCTCCCAGTGCCAATGTGAAAATCATCACGGTCGGCTTGGGAACAAACCCTTTCTGGAGACCATGGAGCCAGCTTACTCCTTCTGGATTGCTGCTTCAGGCCTCTCTGTTGCTTTTGCAAACTGTGGCCTTTTGAGCAGTAGGAAAGGGGGAGCAGTTTGTGTGCAGACACATCGTGTCCTTGAAGCTTCAGATACCATCAGATGGGGAGCGATGGGGCCGTCTGATTAAAAGCAGCCTCGTGCAGCCTTGTCCTACAGGCCTTGGCTTCGGGTGCCAACTGCAGTGTGATTCCACACCTTAAAATAGCAGCATCTCTGCACAGGGTAAATGAGAAAGTTGGCACATCTGTTGAACATTGTTTCTTCCCTGGGGCCAGTCCTAAAGGCTGCTGTTTGCCTTAATAAGGCTGGGGCTGCTCTGGGAACAGCTGGAACCTGGATTCTGGTTCTTGTTGATCCTTTGCTCTTGTCTGTGCCTTGGATTTCCCCGCAGCGCAGGCCTTGCCAGTCTGTCATGGTTAGTTTTGTCCTGTTGCAGTGGGATGCTGTGATGACATAAGCTAAAACACATCAAGAGAGTGAGATTCCCAGCAACACACACAAGAAAGTCCAAGCTGAGGAGCAACACTGACCTCTGTGAGACCCCTGTGTGGTTACACCATGTAGCTGCTGTCCAGCCGCATGGAGAGCTGGCAGAGATGTTTTGGGAGCTCTTAAGTATGGATGTGGGAAGGACGGAGAAGGGCAGGGAGACTTGAACTGTGACTCAGCCTTCAAGTACTGCAGCAGCACAAATAAACACTGCCTTCCTTGAAGGTAATTCACATGCTCTACTAGAGTAGAGGTGGCTTCCCCTCTATCCCAGAGGGGGAAGTACTGCTTTCTTGGTGTGTAAGTAGTAGTGATGAATGTAAAAACTCTACTACAAGCTAGAATTGACCAATCTTCACCTTCCTCCAGGAGCTCAGTTTTCTTTCTTTTTTTCAGCCTGCCTTCAAAGGAACTACTTTCACAGACCTACCGTTGTGCTTGCAACTAAACATCATGCAGCGACTGAGTGATGGGAGGGACCTGGTTAGCCTTGGCCAGGTGGCTCCTGACCTGCAGGTGCTCAGCGAGGACCGGCTGCTGTGGAAGAAGCTCTGCCAGTACCACTTCACAGACAGACAGGTACAGCAAGAGGTGCCAGTGCCAGCAGGTGCTCGTTGTTGCCGGTTGGTGAACAAGCACCTGTAGTCAACTGTTGTTGTTTGGCTGTCTCCTGGGTCTGAGGGCTGTGCTGTAAGCTGATAATGCAGGTTGGCATGAGGACAGTCATAAATCTTTATTGGAGGGGGGGGCTGAATTGCCCCAGCAGCAGTTTCTGAAACAGGAGCCTGAGACATGAGTCACACAGTATGTTCAACCTTGATGCAGGTGGCAACTGCAAGTCATGGTTGCTTGTCCCATGTGTGCAGGGAAAACGTGTAGTCAACTCCAGCAATAACCACGAGGCCCTCGGGGCTGTCGTGGTCGGTCTGTGTACGTGGTCCAGGAGGAACAAGTCCTGCTCTGGGGAAGGTCATTTCTGTTAATTCAAATTCCGTACATTCAAATCCAGTCTCTGCACCCTGTGAAGGGAAGTGAAGCCCCCCCAAAGGGAGAAGAAACTCAAGCTTGGAAGCATGACAAATAACTAAGGCTTAGAGTCAGTGAAGGAGCAAAACAGTCTGAAACTATTAGCTATGAGTATACTTGTTATCCTGGCAGCCAGCGATGGTATGAAACAGCTCCTGAGGCTTTAGGCTGTTATACAGTAATAGTTAAGGAATAAAGATCCTGGTAATGGTATTGTGTGAGGATGTTGCTGCAAGAAGCCCATTATAGTGGGACACTCAGAGCAGAACTTTTCTTCCTGTTACACAGGAACAGCCATGGAATGAGGAAGGAACCTTGGGTTTGCGTGTAGCCACCAGCTACAAATCTGTATTGTTTTTTTGTCTTTCAGATTCGTAAACGGCTAATCTTATCTGACAAGGGACACCTGGATTGGAAAAAGATGTACTTCAAACTCATCAGATGTTACCCTCGGAAGGAGCAGTATGGTGACACGCTGCAGCTGTGCAGGCACTGCCACATCCTCTCCTGGAAGGTGAGAGGGATTTCGGGAAACTTGGTCAGAGGCAGGTGTCTCAGGGCTGTGGAGCTCTCGGTGCTCCCTCTGCTTGTAGCTTAGTTTGGCTGCTGCAATTCCTTTGTCTGCTTAACCTCGTGTTTTCCTTAGTATTAGTTAAGGCCCTTTCTCCATAGCATTGGAGATCCCACCTTCCTGTCATTGAACAAGAGTTACTGTCATCAAGGCTGAAGAGAAGGGGATAGATGGGTGTCCTATAGGATAGGACTGCCCACAGTGAGGAGCATCTCAGCACTGCTGCTGTTGCCACTTGCTACTGGGGATGGAGGTATTTGCAGCAGGATTATTTTGGGGCAGTGTTGATGACTGCAAAAAAAGCCCTCAACAAAAGTCTGGTGGCAGCTTTGATGTCCATGGCATGTGTCTGAATTTCAATTTCTGTAGCTGGTGGTGGACTCTGCCCTCTGAGCCCTCAGAAGAGGTAAAAGACTGAATAGGATCTTTGCTGCTTTTTTTTCCCTTCACTTGACAGTAGTCTCTGCAGTCTCAAGCCTAACTCTGCATTCTTTGGCAGGAATATAAACACTATTTTGGGCCCTGCTCTGTTTGCAAGCAGGGTATTTGGCAGAAGGGCAGCCCTGAGCTGGCTGACGCTGTGGTGCCCATTCTGGAGTCTCTAAATGAAGCTGTTTTCTCCCTTCCCAGGGCACCGATCACCCTTGCACAGCCAACAACCCGGAGACTTGCTCCACTTCTCTTTCACCGCAAGACTTTATCAATTTGTTCAGGTTCTGAACTGGGGTCATCACAGCTTTGGCGATTCTTACAGGACACTTTATGCCACTGAGCTTGGACACTCCGTTTGTAAATAATGTAAATATTCATGTTTGTTTGGAGCTCCTGAGTCAAGGAGGAAGAGTATCTTGGAGACGAAAGGTGAAATTACTCACTGATGTGCAACACTTAAGGAATACAGACTTCCATAGGACTGGTGTATAAAAGCAGCATGTTGTACAGACTCCCTTTTTTCCTGATCAGAGTACAAGATACAGGGCAGAAACTTCATTCTTGTTTTTAGAAGTTAAAACTGAATTTGTCTTGTGGCCCTTTGAGAACTTTCTTGGTTTGTTTCTAAAAATTGAAAGTAATACAAGGCTAGGACTGTTGAACTGTTTCTCCATCTGGTTTTATTTAGCATACGTATTTATAAATATGATGTTTTAAAAATATTTATGGAAAATATCCCTGTGACAAGTTTAATAATTTTATGTTTTTTTAAAGGCACATTCTGAAATACTTAGCATAGAACTCTAGCCTACTTAAAAAAAGAGAATTGCACCATACCATTTTCTACCTCTACTAGATTGAGTACCTTTCAAATGAAAATCCAGTGTACAATGTGAACTTTTGTATTTTGTACAATGATTTAAAGGGAAATGCTTGTGATAGTAAGCATCTTTTCTTGCATTAATGCTTACCTCTTTACACTAACTTTCTTGCTCTACTCAGTGCTTGAATGCCTAGATGATAGGCACTATATGAATACCTAAGACTTTACTCCTTCCTCTTTTAGTTGGTTGGCTTTATGAAAGATTAAGCAAAAGGAATAAGAAGAGCCACAAGGATGAAAATTACCCAAAAGGGAGGAAATCCTATTGCAAAGAAGTAAAGGACTGGGTTTGATCTCGGTGTAAATTTGTATCAACTCCACTAAGTCACTTGCCTTGGCTAAGATCCCAAGCGAGACTAGAATCTGGTTTTTGAAGCCCAGCTGTTCTTTTTTCCAAACATACCCTGCTCTCCATTCCCACTGCTGTCAAAGAATTGAATTTTCTGACAGCTGGTAAAACATAGGGAGATGTGGGCCTGGGCTGTTGAGTCTACTGAGATGATGCAGTTCTTCATCACTGCGAGACTGGCAGCGTCCTGTTCAGGCTAATTGGAGAGTATGAGTCAACCAATTTGTTCCTTTCTTAAAACTGCAGTCAGGACTGAGATAAGCAGGAGCTTTCCAACGTGGTGCTTGACATCTTCACTTATATTTGCATGCCAAGGAAAGGGAGAAGACTGCGTAGTCTGTTCTCCTTCCAGGGCTGACAACTGTGTTGGGACCTTCTTACACCAACCTAAAGAGAATTATTTTGTCCTGTGAAGTGACCTTGTGCTTCACTGGTATGGGTTTGGTTTTCAGTCCCCTCCGTTGTGTGTAATTCTGTACTTTCCACTAAGCTGGAGCCAGAATCCTCCAGCTCTCCTGCAAGGATGTGCAAACCCACGTTGGGCAGGTTTTGCCATTAGCCAGTGCGGTTTCTGTATGGCACTGCCTCTGTGCACTATGTCAGCAGGGTGCCTCAGGAGGGTAAATGTTAGGGGCTTCTGTGTTACTATGTGCAAAGGATTGTGAGGAAGAGGAGTACTCAGGACAATTCAGGAAGAACTACTTGAGTTAATTGCTGTTAAATATTATGTTCCTTTTTTTTACATTTTTATAACTGACTTTCAACACTTTTCTGCAGCTAATATATATATAAATTGATAGCATTTGCATTTTTGCAAACTAAATCACTTTGCCTACTCTCAGAATAGATGCAAAAAGGGAAGAAGCCTTCTCTAGATGGAGCAGTGGGGAAGGAGGTAGAAACTTTAGGAAGGGCAAAGCCAGGACAGAACTGACAAGAGCTGCCATTTTGCTGTATTCCCAAAGCAAAGAAGTTTTTCTGCTAGAAATCTCTCTAGGAGCCAATGCTACTCCCTACCATGGTGAGGAGCTTGTCACTGTCCAGGGAAAAGGAAAAACCATGTTGGATAGGGAGCCTGTCTTCATCCTGATGCCCTGTCCATCAACTTGATTGCTGGGGAAAAGCATAAGCCTGCTGATTAGACCTGTGTCAACTGAAAGTGATTTAAAAGCTGTTACTTTTAAGGAGAAGAAGAAAAAAAAAAGAGCTTAGGCCTTGGGGTATTTCTTCATGAGTGAAGGAGACCAGTTTGCTTTCATTTCCACACTGATGTCAGTGGGTTAATGAGGCTGAAATCTGGCTTGGTGAAAGGGGGTGTTAAGGACAGGAACCTGCAAGTGAAGTGTTGCTGCAGTTTTGAAGATTTTGGTGAAGATTTCACCACTTGTAGCAGTGAGAGGACTTGGGTAACCCTCTGCAGCTCTGGCTTTGGGCTGGATTTGTGTGTGCTTCCTTCCCACCCATGGCCAGTCAGCCTGTTGTGCCTGGGGATGCGGTGGTACCTCAGTGAAAGGCTGGGTCACCTTCCTCTGCTTTAGTCTGAGGCTTTAATGGCCAAGTAACATGTATGTGCTGTGAGACTGGGACATTGGCTGAATTTAAGCTTAGGTTTAAGTTTGGCCTCGTGTGTTCCCTGCCCAAAGACACAGCTAATCCCAGCACTTGCCTGGGATTTGGGAATGTCTCAACCAAAGGCTCCCACCTTTGCCTCTGCCAGCCCTGGTCTTGAGCAAGTAGTTGATTCTGTCCCCTGCAAGAATAATACTGACAACAAGGTGCAAAAGGGGCTCCTGATGAGAATTTATTTCAATTAGAGGTTTTTCCCTGAATTTTTGTTATCTGTGTAGATCTTTAAGGGTCAAAGTGCTGAGGAGTTTTCTTTGTACAAAGAAATCAACACTTGTTACTCATGCAGGACCCTGCAATGTTGCTGTCAGTATTAAAAGCAGCAGAAAACCACGTAGCTGCTGAATTAAAAAAACAAAAAATCTAACAGGTCTGATAAAAAAGCAATACAATATCCTCTGTCCAGTTACTGCATTGGTCACTTTCTGCTGCAGCAACAGTCAAATCAGACCTTATGTGACCATGGCTGGTGCAGTGCCAGCACTGTGGTGAATTCGGTGCTGGTTTTGGTGTTGATACCCAAGCTGTTTGTATCAGGTAACCCCTTAAAGCCATCAGTACTTGAGCAGCACAAAGGCATCTGCCTGCCCTGCGGTGGCAAGTGCCGAGCTGGGTTTCCTGCAGGAGGGTGCAGGGCTGCCCGTGCATGAAAAGCTCCTCTCTCCTGGGGCAGCTCTGGTTGCAGATGTGCAGGGGAAACAGGCTCTTCCCTGGGCTTTGGCAGTGCAGCAGTTCACTCCTGAGCCCATGGATGTGTCCACATCAGGTGTGTGCAGTGCTTTTCACACCAGGAAAGAGGGCTTCACTCTCCATGGGCTTTTTCCTGCCAGCATAAATACAAAGACGTGTGACTGTTGTCAGCAGAAGGCCTCTGTGTTAACCAGTGCAACGGTGTCAAACGTGGTGCTGCTGAGAGGAAAAACAGATCCGGGCTGGGGAGGGATCTCAGTGTTTCAGCTCTCTAGAGGGGCAGGTATTTGGAGTGATCCTGAATGTGGCAGCCACGTGCGAGGCACAGCTTGGGCTGTACCTGCTTCAGGCTGTTCATGCTAACTACGGGATGGTGACGTTTAAAACGTGTGCTGCACCTCCTCCTATATTGTTTGGGTTTCTTTCATATTGCAGAGTTTCTAGATGCTTTTATAAAGTGATTAGAAAATTTGTATTGCTCTTCAGACATGCTTTGTATGTAAGCACTTAATTGCAACCTGCCACTTTCTGTATATGGGAATATCTTTTTTTATTTTTGTTTGCCCCCAGGTTTTGACCTCCACTAGTGACAGTTTGTGCTCCCGTCCGTGTTTGATTCTTGCAGAGCTGTCTCCTATCCCATGTGCAGGGAGTTAACCAGCTCTTCCTGCCCAGGAAACTCCTTAGCCTTTAGTAGCAGCACTTGAAATAGAGTTTTTAAAACTGACAAATAGCTAATAAATCAGGCGTGCTGTTTCCTGCCTACCTTCAGGATAGCAAACCAGTGTTGTCCTCGGGATTGGTTCTTACAAACCCTTTTTACAGGTTCCCCGTGAATCGGCCCCTTGCCAAAAACAGCTTCCCATGAAAAAGCCCCTCTGTGCAGCGGGGCTGCGGGGAACGGGCGCCCCGTGGGGCAGGGGCCCTGAGGGCTGTTCCCGCCGTGGGGCTGCAGCGCTGGCCTCGCGGCTCACCCGGCCCCTCACGGCGCTTCGGGGCTGCTCCCAAGGTGGCACTGCCAGCCCAGCGCTGCCGTGTGGCTGTCAGGACATGGGGGCTGCAAATCAAGTTTCTCATCTCCCTCATCAGTGAATAGGGTTTTGCAGCATCTGGACCCAGGCGGAATAAGTATCCTGACCCGCGCAGTCTCTGTTGTATCAATACCTTGAATGCCTGAGAAACTCCCCCCTTGTTTGAGTGAGTGCTGCCCTTCACCCCAGGGAAGAGGTGATGAAGATGAAGGCAGAGGAGCGGGGGGGAATTGTGTTCCTGCACTGCTGTGGGCTGCAAAGTGCCCACGGGTCAGCTACAGAGAGGACTCTGGAATTGGAAGCAGCAAACATGCTAGTTCCTAACCTGCAGTCACAATAAATACCTGCTTCCATAGGGAAGAGAGCTTGTGCTTTGTTTTTCCTTCACATTGTAACTAGAGATGATATGAAGTGAAAGGCATCCCTTGTATAGTAAGACTTCTGTTTAATATTATTGTGTGGTTAAAATCCTTCCATATAAATTTGCACACTTTTCCCTTGCATGCCCAACTCTTTTTACAGCTGTTCTGTGCAGACAGTATTTTTGTAAGACTTTTTTTGACACTGAATTGCAATAAATGTTCAAACAACATGAACCACAGTGGATTGTCTCGTTGCTTCCAAGCCGGTGACCTTAGGAGCCTTGAGCTTCCTGCGGTGTGAGCAGGAACTCTGCTGCAGGAGGCCAGGACCCGGGCTGTGGTGGCAGGAGGTGCGTGGGGAGTGTGCGGAACAGCCGGAGCTGTCACTGCACCGGAATTCAGAGGAAAGGGAGGCGGATGAGGTGCCTCCTCCCGAGGAAACCAGCGCTCAGGTGGAGCTCGTGCCCTGGACCTGCGCTCTGGCAGCACCTGGAGGAACGGCAGCCCTGAAGGAAAAGTCTAGTGCTCATCCTGGCCCCACAGCTTCAGCTCCAGCTTGTGGCTTACAGGTGTTGGGGGGGTTGTATCTTCTTGTTTATTTTTGTCAAAGTATCTGAGAGATTTTTCTTGCCTAATTACAGTTGCACCTGGTTAAAGTCAGAACTGCAGCGTTCAAACCTGCTTGGAGGCCACCTTGTGCCATGTGCTCAAGGTGACCCTGCATGTGCAGGGGGCTGGATGGGATAATCTCCAAAGGTCCCTTCCAACCTTAATGATGCCATGAAACCCAGGCTCCTGCTCAGAAGGAATGTGAATGTGGAGCCCATAGAAGAAAATTGGGGTAAATGGGGGTAAATAACTATTCTAGTGTGCAAAGTTATCTTTGTAAAACAGGATCACCTGCCTTATGAAATCCAGCTACAAAAAAAAGA